ACATAGCTCTGAAGGCCTTTCAGGCTAACAGAGGCCTATTTGACGTCATGTATCTTCCCCTTTGGCCTATATTTATTACTGAGAATATCAGATTTGGCACTGGATATTTTCTGGCTTGTGATTTTATATTTCAGCTTTGTGTGGCATCTCATCAATCAAAAACAGCAGATGAGCACCAGCTACGAAGTTTGAAAGTTTTTCCTCTTTCTTTCTCACAGTTCCCCACAGCTGTGGTGAGTGGGCAGATTTCCTAAGAATTATGACCTGCGACGTCATACAGTGAGGTTATATTTCATTGGTCTCTGAGATCAGTGAAGACATTGTACTCCCATCTGGCCTGACAGGTTTGTTATGATCAATTGGGCCGCCGCGGTGAGTCAGACAGCTCCACTTCCTGTCTGCATGAATCAACCCCAGATCATATTCAGCTTGGTACTGTGCAGGAAGGACAAGTCCTTTTGGTTTGTGAAGGGCTCAAGTTCCTCATTTTCTTAAGGAGTCTTCTTTCCAAGAAAAAGCAACAGACTTTTTTTTTTACAGTATAGAGTTGTCTTCAGTTACAAGCAAAACAAACCACACCCTGTTTTTATGGTTCAACTCTTATCTTATGTTATCAGTAATCTTTGAAGCTTACCCATAAATCCTAAATCAGACAGAAACACGTTTTTGGGAATATTGTGAAGCACCTACAAATATGGTCTATGGTCCTAATTATTTGGTGAAAACTCTTTGAAACTAAGCTGTCAGTCACAAGTGACTATCCCAGCAGAGCTTTATGACATCGGGGTGGAAATTGCTGGAAGGCATCGGTCAAGCTTTCCAATGAAAGCAGGTTGCAAGTGTCCTTGTGGGGCTCTTGTGTTATTGTTGGCCTGTCTGTAGGGGACAGCAACAGTGGAGATGAAAGGTCTTTTCTATGTTCCACACACACCTAGTGCCGTTTAAGCACGCATGGCTTGCGTAATATACATTACGGTACTTTTTCTTGTTCCCTTGGCATTCCTTGCAGACATAAACAGAGTTATGAAACTGTACCTAATTTGTAGGTGGAAGTTTAGGAGAATATTGAGGGTTGAAGGACAATGTCTGATTGGCGTAATGAGGCATATGCGTACATTCCCTTGTGAGGTGATGTTCTAGTTCTCATAATAAAAGATCCCATGAGTCATAGACCAGCATGGATATATAACCTCAAGAATTATGCTGTTTGCGAAAGTACCAAAATACCAGTTGGGAGCTTCGAAACAGGTTATTCTTAGTTTCAGTATACAACATGTCATATACACCTAGGATGGCTTGATATTTTTCTCACAAAAACGCATCGATTTGCTTCAGGAAGCCTTTATTAAAACCCCCTGGGGCCATATGGAGCACTTTTTTATGATGGATTGGTGCAGTTTATTGGACTTTGGACTATTGAATATCACCCATTCACTGCCATTATAAAGCTTGGAGTCATATACACCTAGGATGGCTTGACGGGGACTAAATCATGGGGAAATTTTTATTTTTGGGTGACCTATCCCTTTAACTTTTAAATCCAAAGGTTAAAACAGAAGATTCCAGAATATGACGATATTTTTGTTTCACAACATGAAGGAAGTGTTTTCAGTAATGTGACCAGTTGATGAGCTTTGGCGTGAATGTTCACCAAGCTTGCAACAATTTGCTTGGCGGTTTCCATTCCTGTATTCTTGTTGGCCAATGATTTCCTGTGCTCTGTAAAACTCCCTGCAGTTCTGACTATACTAGAATCTCATCATGCAGTTTAGTCTGCCCACTGTCCTGCTGAGTAGGAAGCCTCACAGAAAGGTCATTTTTATGCCTTTAGTTGTCAGACAATCACCCAGTCACTGGAGTACAGCGTTTGGTTTGCAAAAGGATATCGACCATTTCTACTGCTCGCTGCAGTAACTTCATTAGCTGAGGAATGTGTTGGGGAGGAAAGGTGTGGTGGCCAGGGACTTCCTGTGGGGGGTACGGGGAATGAGAAGGGGGTGTTTTATTAAGGCTTGCAGATCAGTGTACATTGGCAAGCACAATGTTTCGCAGTCATTATAGGCGTGCCCAGAAATCCCCTGCAAACATTCCGCTTAAAATAAAAAGTAGGTTGACTTTCGATTGTCTTGTCTGCTGAACCTTTTGGTGTTTGTCTGGTCGTCACACTCGTCTAACTCATCTTTCAGTAGCACAAATGATATCAAGTGCTTTATCCGCACAAGTCAAGAGCTGAAAAACCAGTCCGGTCGCACCTCATGCGTCCTACTCCCTTTACACTCTTAAAAATAAAGGTGCTTCACGGTGCCATATAAGAACCTTTTTGTCTAAATGGTTCCATAAAGAACCTTTAACATCTGAAGAACCTTTCTGTTTCACAAAAGGTTCTTTGTGGCGAAAGAAGGTTCTTCAGATTATAAAAAGGTAAGAAAGAGATGGTTCTTTAAAGAACCTTTGACTGAATGGTTCTTTGTGGAACCAAAACTGGTTCTTCTATGGCATCGCTGTGAAGAACCTTTTGAAGCACCATTATTTTTAAGAGTGTAGGTTGAGTATGTCATGACCACCAAGTGTGACAGAACTCGGCTAGCACGTGACTCAAAACGAGGAACAAAAACCCTGACATTACCACACGCCACACCCTCCCGCCTTGCTTATCCGCTCACCAAAGACACCATGTAGCCCGCACAGTGCAGTTTACTTTTTCCCTTTGATGTTTTGACAAATTTTCCTTCAAAATACACTTGCTTGATCTCTCAACAAGTAGAGACGGTCTGGTCGGACCTCAAGGATACATTTAACCTGTTCTTCTTGTTCCATGTCCTCTTTCAATGTGTTGCTCCACATGAGAGCGAGGACACACAATCCCTCACAGCAAGGGAGGTAGAGTTGCTTTTTCTGTCGCATTACCTCATCGGGCTGGTGTTTATTTTGCCTTTGTCACGCTCCGTTGTGCAGAGGCATCCGTGTTAACCCTGTCCTTCCTTGTTTAGTTCTTTACATATTGCTCATGGTGTCTACTTTCCCAAACAAAACGTCATCTCTGGTTGGACTACATTGATAAAAGACCTTGTTGGGGCATCAAGTCTCACTATTACTTTGTGGGCAGACTGGGCACCAATCAAAGTTTACATGACTGACATGCATCGTTTAGCTTGGCTAATGAACAACCCTCAGAGAACTGATGAAGGCCACATCACTGAACCTATAGGTGGCAAAGCTGATGTGGTGAGCTGCAATTCCTTACATGCACTGAACATCTCAACAGGCCCTGCTGAGATGCTCTTGGCCCCTCGTTTACAAAGCTTTTACTAGCTTTTATTGTGGTGAACAGGGATTTAATGGGCTCTCGGCTTGTAGTTAATTGGTCTGATCTGAACACTTGACAGAATCCTTTATAGGAAAGTCTGGGAGTATTGTTTTCCATTTGCATCTGTGCTTGTTAGGATGGTGAAGTAATTCAGCTAATGACCCTGTTGGTGTGACAGTTGGCACATCCAAAGTACTGGAAAGACTTAGCTCTGTCATAGAAGATTTGTCTTGTCATAAGGTCTCATTTATACGGTTGGTTGTGAGAACAATATAGACATAGATTTATTTATTCAAACTTTATTTTCTCTTCAATATCATAAGCCACCTGTCCAAACAGTCTTGTCCATAAGATATCTAATTGATGCACTAGTTAAGCAGCTGTTACTGGGTTAATCTGTTTAGCATTGCCCCATTCAGAGCTTTAAGTGTGCTAAGGTCAGGCTAAGGATGTTACTAACCCTAAATGTTACAAAGTAGCACAGGAATGGATTTATGAGCAAATGGACAGTTCTTCCATATTAACTTGAGATGGTTCAGGATAGTTGACTAGTCTCACTAGTGAGTTTAAGTAGATTTTGTGTTTTTTTGTAATACTTTTTATTGGCGTTGCTTTAATGAGCAGTTTATAGACAGGAAGAGCATGCTAACATTCAGCATGGGAAAAACCCTCTCTGAGAATTACAAACTTAAATATGGTTTTATAGTTATTTATTTAGAGGTATTTAGTTGTGTTGTCAGTTATCGTAATGCAAGTCTGAACCTAGTGTAGAAAGAATAATACATATATTATATAGTGTTTTTGAAAATGTGTAGGCCTAGTAGTGTGGCACATCACTAATACAACAGCAGCAAAGTAACAGAAATATGTTTATTCTCAGAGCTTTAGGGCTTTATTATAAACCTAGGAATTGAAAAAGGTGTTTAGCCTTTAAGTAGATGTTTTCTAGGTATGAAAACAGTGCGAGTCATTCCCTGTAATGTTCATTAACAGTGCACACAACGCAAAACCACCTGTAATTGCAAACACTCCAGGCAGTCTTGGGCCGTGTAGGAGGGGAATTATGACTGTCTTTAACAGTTCACAATATTCAGCCTCTGGACTGTTAGCTGAGATGGCCCTTGTTCCCTTATAAGGGGATCTATGCTTTTGTTTTGAGCTAGGAGCGCTCGTGAAAGCGGTTCAGCTTCTTGGTGATATGACCATGTAAGACCAGAGTGCACTGCACACATTTCATACAATATTCTGCTGGTTGTAGCTTTTAAGAGCTGTATTGTTCCAGGAAAAGTGCACTATTATAACCACTTAAAGGGATCTTATGTTGGTCATGTAATTGGATGTCAAAGAACAAGATGCATTAAAATATCAAATAAATCCATCAAATAAAAACATTGAAAATGCAATTATTTGTTTACCTGCTGGGTATCCTGTTGATGTCCTGCTTCATCTGAGAAGTATAGCGATTATCTGCATTTGACACGTGAATGTCACCAGTTAGGAAGGTGTATATGTAGGTGTTTTGGGCCCCCGCATCAGAAACAGTCTCTTGACAAAGAAGCCTTTGATTTGAATGGCTTCATTATTCAGCAGTTCTGGAGTTGTACCTCTTCTGCTGTCAAAATGAGCTGCGAGGTTGACCTGTGTGCTGACTTTTCTGCTTGCTAAATGCTTGTATTCACTGTCTGTGTTTCAGGATGTGGAGAAAGGGAAAGAGCTGCGTACTCATCTCACTTACGAGGACATCAGACAGAAGGTCGAGCAGTACAACACACAGTCACGTGACCACTTTAAAATGACACTGGTGAGTTAACGGTCAACCTCCACCATCCACTAATAGACCAATAGAAACGAATCACTCAAAAATCTAATCGCTAATAATTTTCAGAATTCAAAAGTCCATCCACATTGTTCTTGAACAGAAGTGTTTGTCAGCACACACATTCCTCCAGAAATAAAATTCTGGATTTATATATATATATATATGTGTGTGTGTGTGCATTATGTATTAAAAAATGATGCATTGTGTGTGTGCATTATGTATTAAAAAATGTTTTATAATATTAATATTTTGAAAAACATTTTGACGTGATGAAGAAACCTTAAAACATGAAATCATATTGTGATATTACAGACCCCAAAACCCTCTTATGACCCCAAACGAAATGGATTAACTTAAGAAAATAAAACTTCTCAGAATTATTTATGATTATCCCTTTAATAAAAAGCTTTATCATCATCAAATGGCACAGACATTAAAAAAACATACTCGCACAACAAGAATGCAAATTGCATTTCTTAGAACGCCAAGAATGTATTTTTAATATAGATTTTTTCTTTTTCATAGTCTCAGAGTTAATTATCATTGTTGCTTTAATAAAATCTTTATCATCGTCTCTGTTGTAATCTGTTCATCATGACTTCTCATAGATCATGTGACAGCCATAAGGATTGTGATGTCAAAACATCAGACTTTACCACTGTACCTTTGTCCATAGCCCAGCTGCTTATCGCAGGACTGTTTCTGTCTGGATAATACTAGTTCTTTAACAAATACTGATCTCTGACAAGACATATTTCAAGAGAGGTGTGTTGTCTGGACTTAACTGAGCCCCCATGGCACAAACACTTTGTATTAGTGTATGTGAGCTTTTCCTCATTAAGTGTCCACAGTGTCTTGGATCATTAAGTTTAAGGCCTGTATTCCAGTGGGGTTGTTTGTCAGTGTGGTGGAGTTTCAGAGGAGGTTTGTGAGCTGGAATTACACCCCTCGTGTCTCTCCTGTAGCCTGCAGTCACGGCTGCCATTTGAAATAATGAGCTTACAGACAGAAGAAGCTCATCTGAGCTCCATCTGGACAGAGTCAGATACCACAGCAAGATGTGCTCACCAGCGTTGAGGAAGCTGCTTTGAAACTGAAGCTTGTCAAACTACAAGCTACTTGAAATATTAAGCAGTTTAACTGTAGTTAAGAGGTGCTTAAAAAAGCAGTTAACGACACAACAGTTTACTAAGAAAACCTTTAAAACATAATTATTGAAGTGTCTGATTATTCATAAAACCAAAACTGTATTTATTTGGCAGTGTTGTAGAACTAATTAACAAAATTGAATCAACATAGAACTAAATTGAGTTGAATAATGACACTATTGTCTTTTTAGAGCTGCTTTACAGCTGAAATCGTATGTAATCGTTTAATAATTGAAATATACATATATAAATATCTATTGAACTAAATTGAATAACTGAATCAAAATTGAACTAAATTGAGCTGAATAATAAAACTTGTCTTTTTAGCTGAAATTGTATGTTTCATAATTAAAGAACTTTTCAATATTATACTATTATTTTCTAATCACTGTGAAGCTGCTTTGAAACAATCTGTATTGTATAAATCGCTATAAAAATTAATGTGACTTGACTCAAATTTACTTTAAATGCAACTAAAATATATAAATAAATATATTAAAATATACACTGTAATAAAATATGTAGAACTGAATGAAAACATTTATTTTTATATATTTTTCTAAAAAAAAAAAAAAAAAGACTTTCAGTGTACTGACAACTGAACAAATGAATCAGTGTTTTGAATCAGTTCATTGAAATGAACTACCTGAAAGGAAACGATTTGCTGAAATGAATCAGGCTTTCTGAAAATTACTTGAGAGTGGAAATCTTTAAAAACTCATTTGATAATTGTCCAGAACTGTGTCCTAAAAACAGCAATGTAGCATTTTCTCAAACTAAACTGCTGCTCACTTGAGAAAAACACTTATTTAGCTACAGTTGATCATGTCTTTGCTGTTGTAATCATAATAATGTCTGTCTTTGTCTTTCCTCTGTCTCTGTGCTTCAGAATACTAACGGCATGTACACAGGCTTCATCAAGGTGCAGTTGGACCTGCGGAGGCCCATTACAGTGAAAGGAGGCGGGGCAGGAGGGGTCAAAGGTCAGGAGGCATTTTACCTTCCGCGTGGCTCCATAAACACATTGCATATCAGCAGCACCAACACGGTGCGACAGGTGATCGAAGCGCTGCTGAGAAAATTCACCGTGGCCGACAACCCCGCCAAGTTCGCCTTGTTCAAACGCTTCAGCAGAGAAGACCAAGGTGAGATTCGGAACACGAAAAAATGCATCAGCGTATGTAGTGTGTACAGTAATGACTCAGGTCCCCTAGTGTATACAGTATGTGGTTTGGCAGGACCAGATGCATTCCTGAAATAGATCAATCTGAGGAACACGTGTGTATTTATGGACGCACTCATACATTCAGGACAGGCCTGTTACTCTATGTGCACGTATGTGCCAAGAATACACCATGCCATCGTAGTAAACACACACAACAGCGGATATCTGTGGAAACCTGTTGAATGCTCTTGGCAGATACTAACCAGCCTCGTTTCCCACATTTCAATGCCATACAGGGATATTCTGCGTTGGGGATGGGTCAGGACGGTCGACTACTGAGTTTACTAGTAGTGCCTGATTGATTTTGAATATTTTTTTGGCTTTATACATCAAACAGTGGATTCCTGAGAAGCTCAGCATTGGTTTTACTCTTAAAAATGTCAGTGTTTCTAATCCATCTCACTGCTTTGACGGACCCCAGCCACTGTCTGAGCCCCTGTTGACGTCACACACACAGCAGGAATCCAGACACACATATGGCTCTGGGATTTTAAGTACCTGCTTTAATAATCTATGTGCTGGGCTGGAATGTGCGCTGGTTTATGTGAAAGAATGAATCATTATAAGAACCGACTCAAGAGTCATTCATTCATGAATCAGACTACACTGGTCTGGATATTTTTTTTGTGTGTGTGCATACAGAAATCAATAGAAAGACGTCTTGTCTGTATTATTTTTCTTTATGCAGTATTTAATCTTCAGACTGCAAATCTAAAACAAAATGGCTTAAACATCAGGCATTATCATGGGGAAGAATCTGGATATTATCTTATTTAAAAAAATTCTGTCCTTTAAATCCGTATGTAATAATAATAATATGTAATATTATTTTAACACACTGCCCTTTGAAATACTAAAAAATGACAGATTTGCACTGCTGCTTGATTTATTGCTTTATCCAGTCTTTTTTTAATCTTATCTTATTCAATTCAGACTGCAAATGTAAAACAAAATGACTTAAACATCACACTTTATCATTGAAAACAAATCTGGATATTACCTTATTTAAAAAAAAGGAATTCATTTATAAAATTACTTTTAAGTAAATCCCACAATTATTCATTTATCCATGCTATTACTTATTTATTTTTTTTATTAATGTGGGTATTTTATAATTATTTTTTTCAAGATTGCATTTTTTTTGAGCATATTCTCTAGACTACTGTCTAATGTACTTCTTTTAATGTACTGCATTTTGTTACTGATCCAAATACAAAAATAAGACTGCAAGCTCAAACAAAACACTTTCTGTTGCCGTGGTGCAGTCTATTCAGTCACACTGAATAGCACTTCTACTTGATTTATTGGATGAACTGGGCATTGTAGTACTATGGGGAGCAATAACGGTCATCTTCAGTTATTTTGTTGGAGAGTGTGAAGGAGCCAATAAGTGCTGCTGCCAATGGGGGAGTATTTGCTGAGGCCACCGTGAGAGATCTCCAGCACACACTAGGAGACAGATATGCGACACTTTGTGTTTGGGTTGCGTTTTACAGCTGGTTTTCATGCATGTAAGGGGGCTCTTAAACAGCCCGTCTAGACAACTTCAAGAAATGCTACAGTTCAGACGCTGATAAACTCCCAGCTCAGAGCTCATTACAGAAACAGACAGACCCTCATGTGTGATATCACAGCAGTACGGCATTTAAAAGACCATGAATCAACCGCATTAGTGTAGACATAATAACAGCTCTTCTTGTTCTGATTAACCACTGCTGGAGGCAGAAGGAAGCCCCCATTAAACAGGAAGTGAGATGAGAGATTCCTCAAGAATGAAGAAATGCAGGTTTGCACACTCTAGGTGGAGGAAAATCTCCTTTAATGCTAGAGTAAACACAGTAGTTCCAGAGAATTACCTTTTGTTCCTGATATGAGGTTGTGCGCTTCCTTTTTCGTGCTTAAAGTTTGTTTTTGCAGTGAATTTGTCTTAGATTCAACATTCAGTGGCGATGTTGTTTGGCTTCCTCTTTGTGGTGTGTCAGTCCTTTATTAAAGATTACCTGATTCAGGGCTACATTTAAAGTCTAGCTGCTTTAATTGACATGAATGTACTTTTCAACTTTTCAGAGAGGGTCTCAGTTACTGTTATCATTCTGAAACCCTCTCTTAGAAGTTTTATTGCTAAATTCATCCTCTTCAAACAATTATAGCTCCTAAAAAAAACTATTTAAAAAAATTGGTTCCTGTACTAAAAACAATGCAGTTTTATCATGATTAAAAACCCTCTTAGAGCAGTTTTATCTCCAAATTCATCCTCTTTAAACAGTTATATCTCTTAATAATTTTTTTTTTTAATTATATTGTGTATTTTGATAGTCTCTCTCAACACATTTCCAAATTTGATATTCATGATGCAGCCCTAAAGGCCCATTCACACCAAGAACAATAAGGACACCAACGCATGATAATAACGTTGTTTATTATAAGCGCACACTGCATTTTTGTCGTCTGCTGCTTTAAATCCTCAAGCTCGTTACAGTCGAGTGGATTGGCTGGGTTTTTATCATTCATCAGCTAGAAAAAAATGTTCTGAAAGTTAGTACAATTGTTAGAACAATATCATTGGAATGTGGACTTCACTATTCTCATAGAATTAGAACAATTATTAAAACTTTATAGATATCATTTATGAATTATCGTCTTTGGTGTGAACTGGCCTTTATTCTTGCCTGATAGTATTATTATTTTTTGTCTTTCTTGCTATGTGAGTGAAGTGTCTGTGATGGTAATCGTGTGTGTTGTGTCTGTATGTGTGCAGTGTACACCTGTAAGCTCTCAGAGGAAGAGCACCCTCTCTTCCTGCGTCTGGTGGCAGGACCCAGTACAGACACACTCAGCTTCGTCCTGAAGGAACAGCAAACTGGTGAAGTCATGGTGAGCATTCGATTTCGGTTTCTATCTGAATCGTATATTAATAAAAATAAGCAATCATGACACACATCTTCCTCTCGTTCATCAGTGGGATGCCTTTTCCATCCCCGAACTGCAGAACTTCCTCCGCATCTTGGAAAAAGAGGAACAGGACCAGATTTGCTCGATGACCAGACGCTACAATGCCTACAGAGAGAAACTGGAGGAGGCCATGAGAGCGACGGGCGGACCGGGATAAAGCCAACATGTTACGAGAAGGAACTGTAGCACTGCTGCCTGTAGTGGTCACTGTGTGTAATGAACACTTATTAGGCGTCACCTTGCCAAGCAGACAGACACCCAGTCTCAGAAACTCAGAGGAGAGCACTGAGCTCCCAGAATGCACCTCGGGTGCCATATTTACCCATCCACCCTCTTTCACACTTTCAGTTGTTTCTCATGTTCTCTGTCCTTTTACCTCTTGTGAAAGATGCAAACGTGAAAATCAGATCTGTTTTTTATTTAATTGTTGGATGCTGTGGTTTGTACATATTTCGGTTTGTTTTAATTTATGTGGTTGAATTTATAATTTTTTTATTTTTTTTTTATTTTACTAAAAGAGTCTTATTTTATTTCAAATATACTTGTTGACCAGAAACTGAGAAACTGGTGGGATTGGGGATTTATTTTATTTTATTATATTTTAGATTAAATACAAAATGACTCATAGTGTGCCCTACCAAAGATGGTGTCGATGTGCTGTTGACAAAATGATAACCTGAGGGCCACATGAGTTCAAACGGACAGGAAGCGCATGTTTGTGATAGAGAAGATTGAATGTGGTGATGTAGGGACAGGAAATGAGATGTCATAAACATTGGTCGCTGAACGGATGGCTTAAATGCAAATAAAAACCTTTTTAAATCAGAGAAAAGGTAAGCATTCTTAGGTGATGTGCTGGAATTGGAAAATTCAGGAAGTTGGTGAAGGAGCATAGAGGATGTTGGAAAGTATGCGGGAAGTGTCATGCAGCGGTTTTGAAGCAGATCTGACTGATGTCGGTCGGAGTCAGATGGTCTTATTCAGTGAATTATGGGTCGTGATGGCCTCTAGTTTAAGCAGATCATTAGCGAACAGGGCATTTGCTGTTCACCTTTCGTCATCAACCCTGGAAAATGCGTTAGAGAATATCTTCAAGATAAACAACTGAATATACAAGTAAATGAAGATTGTTTGTTTTGAAGCTACAGCCTGAAATTAGTAGATTTAAGCTAGGTTTTTTGGTGAATATAATGTATAATCACACTGATCTGATTTACTGTACCAAAAGTTAATTTCATGTGCATTTCTGCATTGTATGGAGATGTAGCTGAAACTGTTACTGTTGTGAGGTACAGTAAAATAAATGCAGACAGTAGTGCTTTGTCACAGCACACAAGGTCGACATTAATGACGGTGTTTGAAATGATACTTGTGTATCAGTAGGTGATTTAATATGTATACACATTTATATTTCTGTATGCTAGTGCTGCATGACGGTTTTCTGATTGGTACTGCAACATTATTGTCTATTGTGACACATGCATAGCGAGGTAGCTGCACCTTGTGGTCAACCACTGTAACTACATCTCTGCAGTCTTATGTCTCACCTGTGTCAGTTCATTCGAGTATTTTAGACACAGATTGTGTGCTTTTTAAAGATTTATTTCTTTATTATTATTGGTTTTATAACCTCTAACCAAAGATCTAGATAAAATGCATAGTTTAATTTAAGTTTGATGTAAATTGCCTGGTGCAATCAGTTTTACACCGCAATAAACTGAGGTTAAATTACAGTATATCTTGCCTGGTGGTTTTACCATGGCAACTTAATTTTAAACACTGGGGTGAATATAAATTAGAGTAATTAGTGTAATTGTTGTGTGAATATAACGTCACGACAGTCTCAATATATGCAATCGAAGAGGATTTTGCAGGGGAATAAGACCAGTAATCTTATAAATTATTTTGGGGCACTTTATGTTTTAATTCAGGGAATTATTTTTATTTTTGTTTTATTGGTCTTCATCAGATGCCTATTGTCTTCCACTGTTTTAAAACGGCATTGCATCTAGTGGAAGCTCAGTTGTTTTATGGAAGTGTTTTTTATTTTTTTATTAAAGCTGTTTCAGTACTTGATTTTATTTTTCATAAACAAGCTTTTGTTTGTAGAGTAAGACTGTGAATGAATGTTAAACTGTATTCGTGTAGTAAAGGGGTGTGGATGTGAGTAAACTGCTTCAGTAATTTTGAGTATACATGCATGTGTTATATTAATTCATGCATATTTTATGGCTGTTTTAGGAAATCACAGGCCAGAGCTGTTGATCTTTCTGTTTAACAGCATAGTTAGAGATCGCTCACAAAACACACTCTGCATTTGCCAAAAAATCTCATTTTGTTCCACTGTTGTAAGTTACATGCATATTTTGGGGATGTTTATGATATAAGTTTCATACATAGAAGAAGGTGTCAAAAGTGGCATACATGGATGAACATTGTTTTTGAGAGGTTTGGACTAAATATGCATTGTTAGAATCCAAATGAATCCAGACGTCATGCATCTTTGACAATGACAGAGGTTTTTTTGAGGGTTTGTAGTCACCTATTGTGGCCTTTCTTGTTAAAGACCTGGTTTCTCTAAATAAAACTTTAAAGAAAAGTTTCCCGATTCACTGCATTTGTCATCTGTGTGTGTGTGTGTGTGAGGAGAAACTGGCTCAGTGTCCGCTTGGATCATGCTGAAAAAATCCGCACATGAAAACTTGATCTCACTTTTGACAAGCTCAAAATGCTGGTATTTCTAATTATCTGCAACTCATTTGTCATTAAACACATTTTTATCCAAATTGCACAACCTACTTGCAGTTTTCCTCAAATGGTCACACAATGGCGGTTGCACCAACCGTTCAGCTCATTTACAAGCTTTCAACATCACGCTACACTGTAAACTGTAAGGGAGGCCACAATTTCCATGTGAATGCTGTGCCCTCTGCGTGAACCCGTGTTAATGTCCTCAGCGCGGAGCTCATCGATGACTCGCCGCACTCTTAGCGCGTCTTCTCTCATGGCGTCCGTGGACACACGCTGAACTTTATACAGCTATCAGAAAGACTCGCGACGCAACCATGTAAGTTTACACAAATTATAAAGACCGAATATCGTATTTAAAAGACCTTGGGCGTAGTGCCAATACAAACGTTCACTTTGGATAAATAAACGTGGTGTTTTTAGGCGCACGACAGTCCGTGTGTTTCACTTCACATTCTCTTCACGAGTGAAAGCGGTCAGCTGTCGCGAATAACGCGTTATTTAGTAAGAAAATCGCGTTTCTTTTGCGATTTCGCATCTTTTGTGTTAAAGGGGTCATATGATGCGATTTCAATTTTTCCTTTCTCTTTGGAGTGTTACAAGCTCTTGGTGAATAAAGAAGATCTGTAAAGTTGCAAAGACTAAAGTCTCAAATCCAAAGAGATATTCTTTATAAAAGTCAAGAGTCAACCACGCCTACCTAAAACGGCTCGTTCTAACACGCCCTCACATGTCTACGTCACGATGTGGGAAGATTTGCATAACGCCGCCCAAATGTTCACGCAAAGAAAGAAGGCGTAATTTTGATTCTCGCTGTAGTATTGTTGATGCCACCGCCGCCATGTCGTGAAGGCGCTGTGTTTCGTTGTGAAAGCAAAACTACTTTGTTTGGTCTTCCAAAAGAGGACGATATCCGCTTCGTCATACATGTGGTTAGCTGGCCTCCGCTCACTCAAGCAGAAAGGCGGGGCATAGAGGAGAAACAATAATGTACAGTATGTGGAAAATAATGTTTTTTAACCTTAAACCGCATAAACACATTTCATTACACCAAATACACAACATAATGTTCTTTTTAGCAACATTATATGACCCCTTTAACGTCGATGTACTTTTGATTATGTGATGTTCCTGTAAGGAGGGTACTGCCTCAAAATACTTTTAAAATATAGTTACATTGAACATGTTCACCCAGAACATGTTATGGCATAGCCTATTTTGTTTGGTTATAACCGCCTAAATGCCTCATTATAATGTTTAGTTGAATAGAATATTTATATAAATAAATAGCATGTTATTATATCAACTTATATTTGAATTAATAAAAATATTACATTTGATTAATATTATTAGTAACCCAATTTTTATTATTATTTTGCAATTTCTGTAATTCTGAATGCCAGGATTTGTTTTTATATATATATATATAATTTATCAATATAAATAATAAAAAATACTTTTAAGCAAAAAATAAAAACAGCATTTACAAATTATTTCAGAATGCTTTTATCAATCAAACACAAAAAAACAAAAGTCCACACCAACCCTTGCAATGCTACTAACAAATATAATGAAAGAATTGTCTGCAAAACGTCATTAAACATGTCAGACATGTTGATCACAGACTGGAAAGTGCTTCACTGAACAGATATATTGAAGTATTGTGTGAAAGATCTGCTTATGGCTGTCTGCCACCTCTCAGATCATTTTGGGTGATTTGAGGTACTGCCAGAAGATTGATGAAGGTTAGGTAGTATTCTGAAAGTAAAACAGTCCCTTAATGCCTCAAGTTTGGGTTGCTGTAAGTGAGAGCAAAGCAACAGCAACCCACCGCAGGATTTCCCTCATAGAACCAAAAATACACAGGTTCATCAATGACCTGCTGTGATCCACACCTTTGGCTCATTCACAACTGACATCCGTCAAACACAAAACTCAGAAAAGACAATAATGAAATGCTAAATACAATATTTGCACTTAGTGAATCAATTAGTTGTGGTATAACTCAAGTGAAATGTCTGTCCAAACACAGATTGTGCTGCCAGATGTGACAGGAACCGAAAAAGTGAGAGAATATTTTTATACAACAAGATATTTTGTGCATTAAAAATATTGTAGTTCACTATCATATGCAAGTACATTTCTATGGGATAAAATGACAAAAATGGTAATTGCAACTTTTAATCTCACAATTTGAAAATCAGAATTGCCAGATATAAACTCACAATTCTGAGAAAAAAAGTCAAAATTGTGAGTCTATAACTCGCTTTTATTATATAAAGTTGCAATTCCGAGAAGTCCGAATTGTGAGAATTCTGAGTTTACATCGAGCAATTTTGTTTCAGAATTGAGAATTTATATCTTGCAATTCAGAGGAAAAAAAGTCCAAATTGTGAGATAAAAAGTTGCAATTACCTTTATTATTTTTTAATCCCGTAGCCAAAAACAAGCTTCCATTATAAATGCTTATCATAAAAGGCAGGCTTAGTGCAGTTGTAAATATTTTATAACTGAATATATGAAGCGAAATGTTTCAGACACATCTGGCAAACAAACAAGTAATCCAACAATTTGAGTGCATTACAAAATTCGAGCTTAAGTTCAAAACTGTGCGTGTGTTTAAAGCAAAAGTAAAACAAAATCTTCAAAATGAGTAAACTTAAAATAAAGACAATATTCTGTGCTATTGTTAAAGCAGCAAACTGAACATTAATTGAGAATAAAGAGGAATATGATGTGAATGCTCTCACAGATGTGTGTCAGCTGGCAGTTTGTGATGTGAATGAGGGCTGGAGGGGATGAAGGCCGTCCTGTCTGTGAGTGTCTGTGGTGTGTTTGGTACCCTGGGCGCACCCTGATGACCTCATCAGAGGAGGAGAGACTGGGCGTCTTTGGGGGAACGTCAGGATATAAAGGCAACAATAGGGCTTGTTTTTCAGTGCCCTGTATTCTTTCCCTCCATTAGTCTTCTTCCTGTAAACCTCTCCACGCTCTACTTCAGCGTCTGTCGTCGTTTGTTTCTGTGAGCCACGAGGCTGCTGAACATCAACCGAGGATCAAACCTAAACCTGGTGAAACGGTGACAAGCGAGACAAACTACCATGTTAAAAATAATAATAATATAACCTTTCCCAGTGAATGCTGATTGTTGAAGTGTTAAGGAAGCACTGACTGTGAGTCGTAGACGCCTGGCGTTCTGCAGGACTGTCCCGAGCAGGACTGCAGCATCATTAGCCGGTGGTTCATCTTCTCCAGAACTTCCTGATCGATGCTCTTGGCGATGTTACTCAGCTGAAACGGGTCTGCTGTCAGGTTATAGACCTCCACAAACACCTGCAAGCAAAGATGGTGAGCTATTATTACGGTATGTATATTTTTACATTTTTGAATTAATTGTTTTTATTCGAGTTATTTATTTATTATACTTGGCATTATTAGCGCCAGTTAGCTGTTGGAACCTCAAGATTTTATTTTTACCTCGTTATCATCAAATTCACAGTACTGTAAGTTGGCGGCCTGTGATACTGTGCGAACGCATGCGTACGTGTTATTGTACGAGTCTTCACACACACAGTCAGGAAAACACTCCTGCAGAGAAAACAGCTGTGTTACAGCACTCATTTTTTTGTGATTACTTTAATGTCTATTTATTTTTATAACGCAGACCCTCACCGAGACCCCGGGGCCCAGCAGAGGGCAGGCTGGGTCTGAGATGCTGCTTCCCTCTCCCTCATATTCCACCAGTACATCAGATCTCCACGTGCTGCTGTTCCCTTTTCCAGTCTGAGACACAAAGACAGCTCAAATGAAATGCAACCCCTTATTAATTATACTGAATGTGTAGCAAGAAACACTATTTAAAAAAAAAAAGTGCATTATGCCCAAAATGACCAAGAATGCCAATACTTAAATGCATTTTTTATTTATTAATTTTAAAGTTGATAAGTTCAAACAGAATTTACCATGATAAAAAAAAATGACATCCCGTCCATCTGAGTTTCATTGACGTTATATCCTGCGATGTCCAGAATTGTTGGACCCAAATCCACATTTGCTATAAGTAACTGTCAAAACAGATAAATTATTAATGACACATTTTGTTCATGTAAATGTAAATATTATATATATATATATACACACACACTACCGCTCAAAAGTTTGGGATCAGTAAGACTTGTAATGTTTTTTAAAGAAGCCTCTTATGCTCATCAAGGCTGCATTTATTTGATCAAAAATACAGAAAAAAAACGGAAATCTTGCAAAATGTTATTACAATATAAAATAATGGTTTCTATTTTAATATCTTTTAAAATATAATTTATTTCTGTGATGCATTAATGTAAAAGCTTGTTTATTTTACCGGGCTTGTCTGGTTGGGTTTGATATTAGGCCCTCGCACCAGAAGAGGAACTCTGATATCAAATTCATAGAGTTGCCTCTTGTCCATCGGAAGAGAAAACTGGCCTGAGAGGAAGAAACAGGCACATGACAAAATAAAAGCTGGGTAAAGTTAGAGAAAAACCATTTCTCAATTATGTAACTCATCATGTACCTGTGTGGTATCCATTGTCGGACGTGAAAATGATGTAGGTGTTGCTAAGCTCTCCTCTGACCTCCAGCTTTCTCACCACCTTCTCCACCAGGTCGTCTACTGATAGTAAAGTGCGCCACCTATTGGAACAGATCATCAGTAGCACATTACATCATGTGCAGTATTAAAATATCAAGCGAGCAATTTAAAAGCATCTGAATACCGTTTTCTATAGGCGTTATCCAAGAACTCCACTGAAGAGTTTGTCATGGGTGTTTTTGCTTGTCTGATGAGCCAGTGCTTGTCCTGAAATGCAGGTT